AGACCCATGGTAACCAAAAGCACCCAAGCACCTCTAAGAGAACCAAAGTAACCAAAAGCACCCAAGCACGCATTAAAAAAACCCAACTCTAACAGTCAAAGAGAACCTTAACGTTCAAAGAAAAAAAAGCAAACAAGATGTGTGACAAATATTAATATTATTTGCAATAATAATGTAAAAAAATGTTATCATTGCAAATAAACTTAGTCAAAAACAAATTTAAAAAACAAATCTGAAAATGTAAGAGGGAAAAGAGGAATGCTGTTTGACATATGGCAGTTGACATTTTTCCACTAAATGTCCTGTGAAAAACGGCCCCTTTTGGATAGGGGTGCATGCTGTTTGGATAACAGGTACAATCAAGCACAATCAGACTCACCTTCAAACAGGAAGGTTTCGTTCCAGACAGGGTTCAGCTTTTTCCGCTTGACTTTGGTTTCCATTTTGTGCTTCTTGTTGGGTAGCAACATCACCTTCACAAACGGATCGCTCGTACCACTACAAACCAAATGAATTAACGCATCGTGTTAGAAACTGTCTCTGCATGAAAAGTTACTGCAAGGTATGCCAGAATCAGGCATTTGGGCTGCAGCTGTGGCTCACAACCACTGGGCTATCACTGCTTGTGACAATCCACAGCCACATGAAAACGCATTTCAAATAAAGGCTTGTAAAAATAAAGAGGAGTGTCTTCAGTGAAACATTTATAACTGTATGTGTTCATCCACTCACAGATTCCTACCTGAAATCTTTGGCTAGTAGATCAGTTGCCCTCAATACTTTGACAACCAGTGTTTCCTCAGTAAATTCATATTTAATGCTAAATTGGAGTTTGCCAACAAACTCTCCTTCTTCCTCGTCTTCCGGACTCTGGAGGGAAAACAAAGCAAAGATGTGGAATTCAGGGGAAAAAACAATCTTCATGCACACTGTTAATTGCCAAATACGAGTATCAAAGTGAAGAAGGTAACCACGTTTGATGTTGGGTGCTCCAAAAACCCCAGTTCTGTTTGTGCATATGGGTTCATGCAGATGGTGCAGAGTACCAGCCTTGGAAAATGGTACCTCTTCTAGGCCCAGTCTTCAATCGGTCCATGCAATGTATATTTAGGACTTGAGTGCAACAGGTACATGTACATATACATGTAAATGTAAATTACTACATATGCTCATCATTGTGCCGATTTCAAATTGCCCTAAATCCAAAATTACAAAACCTTCAGAACAATACATTATACAGAGACCACATATTATTTTACTAGATGAATCCATCAGTAACAAATAGCACCTGAGTGTACACAGACACACTTCTAGAGAAAGATACATGATGTCATGAAAGGACTACTTGTAGCTCATGGGCACCTTTGGAAAGTGGTCTTTGCAATGCGTTGTGAGCACATACACTGTGCAGTGAAGGATATGCAAAGTGGTAATTTTCAGACAACTCGGGGAAAAATACTGGTCCCCCCAATGTCAGCTGAGTTGGAGGCCATTTTCTCTGCAAAGCTGCAAGCAGGCATGTTTAAGTGGGTAGAGAGGGTTAGTTACCTACATGTAATTACTTTCAATCATGTTTGTAATCATGTAGAATAAATCTACAGAATGCTGGGGAGTCTGTCCTGAAGACATCAGAAGTTTCAGATGTAACCCCTGTTACAAATTTTCCATGAAATAATGGGGAAAGGGTTCAAATGAGTCCTTGACTGTCTATGTACAGTGGACTTCTTCTTTTTTTTTTTTACAGCTCTCATAACAATTCTTCAAGAGAATGTAAAAACAGCCAATGCCTCTGGGCCAGTAAAAAGTTCACTGTGGGTACAAACAATTCCCTGTTGAAAGAAAATGAAGTCCTATGCTTTCTGGGTCATTCTATAAATTTGGGGTCCAATTTTTCCCGTCTCTGTTACGTCTGGCATAAGAATTTTCAATGTTTAGAGGTCATTCTTTAGTTTCCAAGATTGAACAAGTTCTGCAAATTACCTGCCAAACAAACAAAAATAGTTTGAAATCAATTTAAGTGATATATCCCAAAGTGCACAATGTCAGGTGTAACAGGGACGGAAGAATGTCACACGTTGGATCCCAAATTTTTACAATGAGCCTTCTGCCAGTCTGTGGATAAATAACCTCTTTGAAAAAATGTGCCACAAGCCAAATGGAACGCTTGCCTTTTTACCTCTGATCTGCTTGACTACACCCTGCTGATGGCATGCATACAAGACTGATGTGGCCACGTGATAATCACTTGTGCATCTCCGTGACATTACTTGTGACGCTACATGCCTTACTGGCCAGCGTGGACAACGGATAATGTTTACAGAGACCAACATTTGGCTTTGACAAATGTTTACAACCAGCTACATCAACATTCGAAAACATCCACCACCACTATCATTCTTTTTTTTGGGGGGGGCGGGTGCTTTCCATATTTTGGGTTGGTTTGCCTTGGTGAGCTGGCAACATGCGAGATGTGAAACCTGTGCTCTTGCATACTGCAGGGAGTTTGTGTCACATATTTACCGTGCCAGGGACAGAGTTCTGCTTCAGGACTAACTCTGTTGATGCCGCAGTTTTGCTGGATTTCTTACCAAATCGCTAAATAACAGAAAGCCGAGTCTTGTTAACTTGTCAGTTTAGAGGAGCTCTAACTTTCTTAACATTTTAATTTCTAAAAGATTGTAGTTTCAGAACACAATTTCACGTGCAGGGCACAATTCTGCAAAAGGAAATCTGCAACAATTCCAGCACATGGGCAAACTATTAACTCAATGTCTTCAGCCACTCAAGGCAAATGACAGCATACATGTCCACACAGCGCCTCAAAAAAGTGATCCAGCTGCCAAATTTCAAACAGGAACCAAACATTTCAGCTACACGTAAATCTTTTGCCACCACTTACATGCATTGAGACTGCAAATAACGAGAAGATACAAGATACATGTACAAAATCTTATTATACCTGCTCAAGGAGCCACAAACATTCCAAAAACCATCTCAGCTCCCTATGAGAGTAAAGAATTTGATGCTGCCATTTCCGGTGAAAACAGACAATCAAACACAAAAGCTATCTCTGCCCTCATACAGTAGGTACCCATTTACACTCCTGGGTGGAGAGTGGCAAGTGAGAGTATTGCCCAAGGTTATAAGTACTCATAACTACATATACATGTAGTACGCTGGATTCCAACCCTGACCCTATGTTACCGAGTCACAAACAGTAACCACTAGGCCCCACGCCTACTTTTTCATGCAGGGCTAAGGAGCTGCCATACAGAAAACACTGCGCAGCAAACACAGCGTAGGCTGTGCCGGAACCACTGAACCAGTCACAAGGATTGTGTAGCCCTTGCCATTTTGGCTGGTAACCTGTTTCTGCTCAGTGAACATTTCCTGTACTTAACAGCTACAATGGAAGCTGGCTGACAGACCAGTAGACCACAATACTTTTTCTAATGTTGACAGGTACAGAGTTAAATGATTCACAGGATTAAAATCAGCTTCTTACCTCGGTGAGGCCGAATGCTTCCTGGGCAAGACTGAAGGCAGAGGCAGCAGACATGACCGAGGGCTGCTTGCCAATTTTCCTGGCATCCGGCTGGACTGGCTCAGCCACCATCTTGCCTTCTGAATGCTCAAACCTAACCACAGCAAACACATAC